AACTGGAATTTCTTGGTCCCATATTTATTTTGTATATAGTCAATCCATTTTTTCCAGTCTCGTTTATATCTCTCATTTGACTTGGTTATTCTTACGGGGGCGTTTTCCAACCTTGGCAATTTTCAGGTTTGTGAACTTCAACTCGGTTTTCTTCAATGGCCAGGCTGGCTGTGGGATTCTGAAAGTTGAAGTCTAAACACTGGAACTTCCCAAGGTTGTAAAACAATCTAGAGTGGGGTTCCTCAATCTCAGCAATTTTTAAGATGAGTGGACTTCAACTCCCAGAATTCTCCAGTCAGTGCCTGGGAAGTACTGGGCATAGAACCTGAGAAACGCTGCTCTAGCGTATGCAATTTTACCAGATATTGTTTCTATAAATTCTTTCAGTAAATATTTGTGCTGTTGTTAAGACACTGCAAGTTTGTGTTGTTTTAAATGAGGTTTCCTGAGAATTTGGATTAGTCTCTGAGCCACAAATATTTGCCAGTGTTACATCTCCATCCCAGGGGTGGGTTCCGACAGCCGCTACTGCCGGTTTGCTGGTGGTCGTGCTTCGTGCGCATGCACAGTACTATAAAAATGCTTATGCGCAGAAGCCAAAAACAAGATGGCAGTGTCTACGGGAGAAATGGTTCGGGGGCGTGGCAGGCCGGTTTTAGCGACCCAGGCCACCAAACCACTACCAGTTCAGCCGAACCGGTCTAAACCGGTAGGAACCCACCGCTGCTCCTTCCCCATTGTAACTTTAAATATAGTATTAGTTTGTCTGAGCACTGAAATATACATAGACTTTCTTAATATGAATAGGTTTTAATTCCTCCCTCCCTCCTCTTCCCCTGCTCTGTATTTCAGGGTTGTGAATTGGGCCGAAGGGCTCCCACGCCAATCCGAGAAAAAGAGGTGACTTTGTGTATGCAATGCAAAGAGCCCTTCAACGCTCTCACCAAACGGAGACATCATTGCCGGGCCTGTGGCCATGTGAGTGTTTTTCCCTTCATATCCCTCCACACACCCTAATCCCCTCTTTCCAGTTTCCTTTGTGGAGAGAGGCAAGGTACAGCTATCCAGCTTTGCAATTAAGTTGTGTTAGTAAGAGCTACTTCGGTTTGGTCTCCCACGATGCTTGTGGTTTTAGTGCTGACCATGAAGCCTTTCTGTCTGATTTGTCTGCTCTAGGATGTGAGCATCAGGGGGCGTGCACTTCAGCCATTGTGCAGGAGGCCTAGATCCAGCCACTATCACATAGCTCAAGTTTTTTATACAGGATTATTATTCTGGGCAACCTAGTAAATTTGGAGTTTCTGAGCTGTTTAAAAACTTATCCAATTTTGTGATAACATGAAGCGTTGCCTCACTCTTTACCTCATTCTCTGAAGCCTCCAGGTCCTCACTAACCATTTCAACATGTGTTCACCTACTTAAACCAAGTAAGCAGGAAAAAGGGGGAGCAGGAAGTTCCACATGTTTTATTTTCTTCCCAGAGAAGATCCTCCAACGTTCGTTCGTTCATTCATTCATTCATTCATTCATTCATTCATTCATTCATTCATTCATTCATTCATTCATTCATGCATTCATTCATTCGCCACAATCCCTGCAGACTCCTAGGATACACACCACAAAAACAAAATACAATAAAACAACCTAACAAACGCCTAAACAAGTACTGTAGACATTCCAAGCTATTGATCTGATGCACTGTTGAACGTGTGTCTCATCTGTTTCAATC